AAAAAGTTAGCACTTGATTGCAATATGATTGACAAGCTTGAAAAATATTAGAGCGAGATTCATGGAATTTTTGCAGTAGATAGTGTGTTGAATTCAAGATTTAAAATGAAGTTGGTTGAATATTATTTGCCAATGATTTATGGAAATGAAGTTTCGGATCTTGAGATTGAAAGTATTAGAAAATTTTGTCATAAGCTGCTAAATGAGTACAAAACAAGACATAAATCAAATGGGAACATGACTCAATCTTCAAACCAAATCGAGACATTTACTTCTGTAAGCAAAAAAGATCGGTTGGCACAATTTGATTTATTTGTTTCTAATACCACTAGTACTGATAGTACGAAGTCAGTGCTCGAAATTTTCTTGGACAAGCCTCTATTATCTATATCAAATGATTTTGACATATTGGCATTGTGGAATGCAAATTCAACAAAATATCCTTCTTAGCAAAAAGTTGCAAGAGATGTTTTAGCTATTCCAGTATATACGGTGGCGTCAGAGTCTGCATGCAGTACTAGTGGTGGATTTGTTAATCCACACAGAAATCGACNTGATAGTACGAAGTAAGAACTTGATATTTTTTTGGACAAGCCACTATTACCTAGATCTAATGATTTTGACATATTGGCATGGTGGAATGCAAATTCAACAAAATATCATGCTTTGCAAAAAGTTGCAAGAGATATTTTAGCTATCCCAATATCTACAGTGGTGTTCGAGCCTTCACAGTACCAGTGGTAAATTTGTTAGTCCACACAGAAATAAGCTTCATCCAAAGTCCTTAGAAGCTTTAATGTGTGCTCGAGATTGATTATGGGCTGATATTCGTAGTACGAGAAATACAATTACCTTTGTCTTTCATAATTGTTATTTTTGTTTTTTCTTTACTGCTAACTAGTTTATTTATTGTTAGAACATTCATCACCTACATCGTACCCTGGATGTTGTACACAGTTGAGTGATACTGATATTGAAGAGGAAGTAAATTGATTTTTCTTTAAATGGACTTGAATAATGAATAATTAAATGTATCATTTGTCTAACTAATAATCACTTTTATCCATCAATTTTTAATGAGCCTAATATGGATATTCTAGAAGAAGATGGCAGCACTTAAATATATACAACATGAAGTGTTGCATTATGTGATGTTTGTTTGTACGCTATGTTGTAATTTATCCAAATGTCTAATTTTTATTGTGTATTTAAATCTTCAAATTATTTTTGCTTTTATGGGTAATGCAAATATGTAACCCGATAAAGTTTGGATCTAACCTTTATTTTATTTTTAGGGATTTTATATTTATTGTATCATGGAACTATCATAATTAAATACCTCTATTAAAAACAGTTTTTTTTTAAAAAAATGTTAAATAGGTAGTAAACGGGGCAGGGACCATGCCCCGCCTCACCCCATCCCCCCACCCGCCCTGCCTTGAACGAGTATAGGAGCGGGTATGGGGCGGGGAATTACCCATCGGGGCGCAGCCGGGAAAGGTTGCCCTAACCCTGACTCGCCCTGTTGCCATCCCTATTTTTGGCAAGTGGCAAGTGTTGCCTCACTGGTCTGGTCAAACTAGACTAAGTTTAATCTAAAGTTGATGGGAATAGTTTTATGCATGATGTTGTTTTAACTTTTTCTGCATCATTTTAGTATCAAGAGGTTGGATAAACTATGTGGACCTCATTCTCTTTCCTTTGGTGATTCTAGGCCCTTTGATTGATTTTTGCTTATATTGCAGTGCTCACTCGTGCTTGCAGTTTTCTTTTAAAAAGTTTTCTTTGTAAGTCCTGTGCCTATATAGTATTTTAAGGGTTCAGCATTTGCATATTTCTCTCGTTATTATCTTTTATTTGACTTTTTTGCCTAGTTTGATATATTCTAAAGAGGCAGTGGAAAAATGCAGAGTGACTAATTTTCTTTTTACCACGAATGCAATGCTTCAACTACGTTGTGCAATAATGAAGAAGATGATTCTACTTGAAGTAGGTATCTCAAGTGTTATTGCAGTTATATTTCTGAAATTGAAATTCTCAAAACATATCATTTTTGTTTTATATATATGATATGTCGCTTTGTTCTAACATTTTTTTTTAATTTTTTTGTGAGAAATGCTAGAACAAAAAAAAAGAAGAAAAAAAGAGGTCGTGGTTAATGATTGTTGCCTGAATTTTTATGTTGGATATGCAAGCACTTGCATTTTTTTTTTTTGGTTCCTTTCCTGAAAATTAGTATTGAACTTGGGCAATTATTCTTGAAAAATAATCCTTAAAGAATGCTAGGAATCAACGAGGT